CGGGGCCGCTCGGCCCCAGTCCGGGGCTTCCAGGCCCCAAAACAGCCGCGAGGGCGAGGGCTGGGCGAGGCGGGGCAGCCCGGGGGGCCCTGCGGTAGTGTGCGGGGTGAACCCCTCCTCCCCGCCCCCGCCGTGACGCCTTATGTAACCGCCGGTCGGCATCAGCCCGCGAACCGCCTTGGTTGAGGGGTCAGGAGCCTGCGCGCCGCCCCCCCCACCCCCCCCCGACGGCTGGGGCTGCCCCGGGCGGGGTCGGCTCTCGGCACTGGCTGCCAAGTTAGCGGAGGGTTTGGGTGGCAGGAAGGGGGGAGGGGTCGGAGAGGAGGGAGTGGAGGAGGTGGGGGGATAGGGGAGGAGGGCAAGAGGGGGACTGGGGGACACCAAACTGACTCTTACAGGTTAAGAACAGACCCAGCAGCATTGAGTGGGAAGGTTGTGATTCTGGGAAACTGTACACCTTGGTCCTGACCGACCCCGATGCTCCTAGCAGGAAGGACCCCAAATACAGGCAAGCTGGGAGAAGTTGGGGGGGGTGCCGGGGAGCATCCACACACACGACCCAACCCATGCCAGGTAAGGTCCCTCACTGGGGATGCCAAAGTACAGCTGGTGTGGGATTTTCGTGCCCCGGCTTGAGCCAGCATTTGCATTGCTTGCCCCTTTGTTCCCAAGCAACATTCTAGAACATACAACTGATGTCCAGGTTCACCAGGAGCCCCTCTGTATAGCCCCTTCATAACAACAACAACAAAACTAGGCAGGGACCCTCGTGGTCATAGCCATGACCCCGCCTGCAGCACCCGCCCACTGTGCAGATCAGTGGCCGCACTGGCCCTTCGGAGTTCTCATCTGTCTGGTTCTTCACACAGGGAGTGGCACCACTTCCTGGTGGTCAACATGAAGGGCAACGATGTGAGCAGTGGGACTGTCCTCTCTGATTATGTGGGCTCCGGGCCTCCCAGTGGCACAGGTAAGTCCTGGGGAGGCTGGGTTTGAGTTCTGATTGGCCAGCCAAGGCCTGCTGTGGCCTGGCTTCTAAAGGCAAGTAGTGGGGGCTGCTTGGCTTTCTGCAGGGCAGCTGCCTTCCAGAGTCCATTCAGCTAGAACTTTGGGCTTTGGGTGAACCCTCAGCAGAACTACTTCTTGGGCTCTGTGCCTTTGCTGAATGAGGAAGTTGGGGATAGTGTCTCTTTTGTTTTGCTCTAGCTCCTTTCTCCCCAAGTTCTAGTTAGTACCTCTGTGTGTTCATCACTAGTTCTGAGACTTGAACTCAAGGCCAAGGTGCTGTCTCTCTCAACTTTTTCTGTTAAGGCTGGCACCATGTCATTTGACCCACACCTCTACTTTTTGGTGGCTCGAAATTAGCCACCAAATTGGGTTTGTCTGCCCAGGCTGGCTTCAAATATTGATCCTCAGATCTCAGCCTGTTGAATAGCTAGGATTACAGGCATGAGCGACTGGCTTGGTTGGTGTCTTGCAAAGATTTGGGAGGCTTTTGCAGAACCCTCTCTCTTTTTCACATCCCCACACATACATGGTCACCCACATGTATCAGTAGATGGGGGCGCCCTTGTGGCCGCCAGCGGTACACAGCATTTCCATCTGCTGCAGAGGAGTGGGCAAAGAATGGCTGCGCAGAAGCTTGTGGGCATTGTCCTGCCCTGAGGTGGAACTAAGAGGTGCAAGGAGGTACTGATAAGGGCTGCTGGCCCTGGCTCGTGTTTCGTTTAGACACAGAAGCTTCGAGAAAGTTCAAAGTCCTCCCATGCTTTCCCTAACAGGAGGATACAGTGGCAGGTTTCCTAGGGACCTATTAATGTTCTCTAGGGCAGGGAGAAAATTAGGCAATTTAATTATGGGGCGGAGCCACCTGAGGATAAAACAGTTCTCCCTGGCGGGAGCTGTTCTCATTTGCAGAAAACCCCTCAGCAATCCCTTTTGTCACAAGATGTTTCACAGGGTGTAACTTGCATATAAGAAATGTGTGGATCGTGACCTTTCAGGGAGGTCACTTCTGTCCCCCAAAGGTGCCTTGTTTACCCACTGCCCCGCAGCTCGCCTTGCCCGCATCTAGAGCGCTTTCCTCCCTTCTGAGCAGCTGTGGCTTCCTCTCCCCACAGGCCTGCATCGCTACGTGTGGCTGGTATACCAGCAGGACAAGCCTCTGAAGTGTGACGAGCCCATTCTCAGCAACCGCTCCGGGGACCACCGTGGCAAGTTCAAGGTGGCGGCCTTCCGCAAGAAGTACCACCTGGGCGCCCCAGTGGCTGGCACGTGCTACCAGGCCGAGTGGGATGACTATGTCCCCAAGCTGTATGAGCAGCTCTCTGGGAAGTAGGGCGGCTCAGCTCAAGAGCCCCTCCCCCCAGCCCTGGGGCCTGCAAGTGGGGTCCTTGGGCACCGATGCCAGTAGATGTCCCTCTCCCTTGCTCGGGCCACGCCTGGGCCGTCCACAGTGTCACAGGGTGGTTCGTCCTGCTGCCTGTCCTTTATGCTCCTATTGATGTGTTGATCACGTTTGAATTCCGTTTTGGGGGTTGGCATTTGGAATTGTAATGGGGGTACCTTGTTTAACAACTAGCAATCCAGAATCTAAAGAAAACTCCAGTTAAGAAATAGACGGGGGTAGGGGAGTGAAAGAAAAAGGAGGGGAATAGTCACTGTCTTTGAGATCCTGCCTGCATCTTCTCCCCACAACCTCTCCACCAGGGACCTGGCTCTCATGGCAGGCTCCTGGCTGGCCCCTACAGTGTCTCCATAGCTGACTAGGTGTCTACCCTTAAACCCTGCTGGGGCTGGAGGACAGACGGGTTGGAGTCCTTACATCCTTGAGGGTTAAATTGTTCACTGGTTGTTCTGGAGTTGCTTAGTCTTACTTCTGCTGTTTGCTTATCGTTGAATAAAGTAGAAATGTTGGATAATGCAGACCTCCAGGTACTGTCTCTTCTTGGGTGTGGGGTCCAGAAATAAGTGGCCCCTTGTCCCTGAGCAGGAGGGCCACGGCGAGGGCTCCGAGTTGGGTCATTCCACAGTGGCTTCTCTGCACAGACTGCTGAGCTCCACTGGAGAAAGCAGGCAAGGCCTCAGGCTGCCCTGCCCACGAAGCACTTTGGCCTCCTGGCTTGAGATATCTTGTGCATTTTGTGCCAGGGAGGGACCTAGGCAGGTGCCTGGCCTCAGCACAGGCCCAGGTGATACACAGAAGCCTCACCCTGCCCCATGGAGACTGCAGACATGGAATAGCACCTCAGAAGTGGCTGTTGCCACGTTCCCATGTGATCCATGGGGAGCCAGCGCCGATAGGGAGGAGAGGGCAGGTGACCAGCTCCTGGCTGTGGCTCTGTGGGGGTGCTCATTCCCAGCAGGTGCAGACCCCGGGGTTCCACCCCCTGCAGCACGACTCGAGAGAGGGCCAAGCACTGCCTGGGAGTTGCTGAGATCCAGGCGTAGCCTCCTCACACCTTTTCATGGCTGGGCTTTTATCTTTTTGATTTTTGGACACTAGGTCTTGGTGTTTGCCTTCAAACCAGGATCCTCCTGTCTCAGCCTCTGGAATAGCTTGAATTACAGGCATGTATCACCAAGTACGGCTGCATAGTACTTAGGTTCTTTGGAAAAAAAAAAAAAAAACTTGTGAGCTCTGGGGTGGCATATAAGATGGACTTTTTTTTAAGTGTTTAGAATTTATTGGCAGCATGGTTTAAACTCAGGGACTCAAGTGTATTTAGCGTGCTCATACCTGATTGGTGGCCTACCACTTGAGCCATACCTCCAACAGTGCTTTGTAGCTGGTTATTTTGGAGACAGTCTTGCAAACTTCTTCTCTGGCCACTTTCAAACTGTGGTCCTTTCGAACTCAGCCCCCTGAGTAGGATTGCAGGCATGAGCCACGGCTCCTTGTTTAAAAATAAAGAATCTGTTAAAAGTTGTAAAGAGAATACTGTTGGCTTTAAGAATTAATGTAGAGAGCCTGCTGTGGTGATACAAGCTGCTCAGGTGGTAGAGGCAGGAGGATCAGGAGTTAGAGAAAAATCCAGGCAGTGAGGAGACCTGGTCTCAAAAGCAAAAATGCAAAACAACTGGAGCTGGCTGCCAGTGGCTCACACCTGTAATCCTGGCTACTCAGGAGGCTGAGATCTGAGGATTGAGGTTTGAAGCTAACTCTCAGACAGGCAAGCCCATGACTTTTTTTTTGTTGTGGTGGTGGTTGTGGGACTTGAATTCTGGACTTGGGTGCTGTCCCTGAGCTGTTCAGCTCAAGGCTTGATCACTTGAGCCACAGCACCTCTTCTGGTTTTCTGGTGGTTTGTTGGAGATGAGTCTCACAGACTTTACTGCCCAGGCTGGAACCACAATCTTCAGATTGCAGCCTCCTGAGTAGCTAGGATTACAGGCATGAGCCACCAGCATCTGACAAGTCCATGGCTCTTACTTCTAACCAGCAAAAATCCAGAAGTGGAGCTGTGGTCCAAACAATAGAGTGCCAACCTTGCGTAAAAAAATGCTTAAGGGATAGTGTCCAGGTCCCAAGTTCAAGCCTCATTACTGGCACAACAGCATGAAAAAAATAACTGGAGGTGTGGGTTCAAGTAGTAGAACAGGCGTGAACTAAAAAGCAGAGGGACCATGTGAGGCCATGAGTTCAAGTCTTTCTAAAGTTACTAAGAAGGAGGTGTTGTTAGATTGAGAAGTGTGGCAAGCTTAGCCAGTGGTGCCCACCTTGTTCAGAAGCCAGTTCTCTGGAAGCTCTGCTCAGCTACACTACCCATGAGGATGCAAGCTCCAGCTGCAAAGCCCAGCTTTTTTTTTTGTGGAATGGAGGTGTGGTTCAAGTGGTAAAACAGGAGCTTACTGGAAAACAAAAACAGACAAAATGAATAGAGACGTGGAACCCTCACTGCCTCACCCCAGGGCTGCTGGAGAACAGCAGGACAGTCCTGCAGAGTTAAGTGAACAGTCAGTACATGTAAAGGATAAACCTGGACCCTCTCCACATAAGGGCTCAAAGCCTTGTGTCCTCAGCTGTCCCTGGCTAGGAGTGGCCCATCAGAACTTCGTAGGAGGGGTCTGGCTTGACCCCCGAGCATGGCTTGGCAGCTGTACCTGAGCCCAGTGTTTCCAACAGCTCGAAACCCTGGAAACCACTGTCATTCTGACATCATAGTACAATGTGTCACCCACCCTGGATGCCCTGATTTAAACCTAGGAATAGATGAGATGGGGCCTGAGCCCAGCTCACATCTCTTTTCAGGACTTAAATACAGTGGCACACAGCCCACATGTTCTTAAACCAAAGTCCCGCAGTCTTGTGTCCTATACAGGTATCTATAACAAGGTGCTGTTTATGATCAGGCATAGTTTCTAAGTGATTGCCAATAATACAGAGCAGACTATAATGGTATACTGTGATCTCTTTCTGGAAAGTACTCACAGCTGCACTCACCCTTCTGGGAAGACAAGAGGTCCAGGGCCCTCAGGAGGGCATGAAGAGGGGCAGATGATGACGTAGTACCAGGCCACTCCTGACTTTGACGAAATGGTAGAAGGACATACCTGCTTTGGTAATCTTGGGTAATAGTTGAAGGCTCCTTGCTTCCCACTCTCCCCCTACCAAACTAAATCCTTTTGGTCCTGTTGCTTTGGATCCATGGTAGATTAATATGGGAAGAACCCAGGGTAGAAAAGGCCTTTATTCCTCATGGCAGCCAGGAAGCAAAGAGGAGGAGAGGAAGAAGCTGGGTCCCTTATCTACACCAAGAGCCCACCTCCAAAGACCTAACTTCTTCCCATTTGGCCCCACATAGTGCCTCAGGCTTGGGACTGAGCTTTCATTGAATATGAGCCTCTGGGGCACATTATAGACCTCAACTCTAGCAATTACACATCTTTCCAGTCCTCTCCAATGTTATTTTTCAGATGTACCTAATGGGAAGTTCAATTGACCTAATGTGCTTAGGAAGCTGGGCCATAGTTATAAAAGGCTTTATGGTTGGGGTTAAGCCATACTGGTAACTTTTATAATTTTAGGAGTATACAGTTATGCTTTAGTTTATCACTATGAAAATGGCACATCTGTTTGATAACAGAACCATCTTTAGCATACAAAAATGACCAACATGCATGTCAGTTCTTTTAGGACTGGGTGTAACTTAGTGGTATTAGTGTATGCCAAGTATATACAGAGGCCTGGATTCTGCCCTCAGCACAAATAAAGGTGCACATGATTTTAATGAACTAGCTCAGCCCTAAGTTTAATAATAGCAGTTGCCAATGTATAGAGGACTTAACAGATCTAAGCATGTAATCTCTTACTGAGATTGTCCTTATCCCCAAAACTATAGAAGTTTTTTAAAAAAATATTTCATTGTTATACCTACAGAATTATTCTAATGAGAGACTGAGGGGAAGGGCTCCATTATTGAGGGATCACTTAAAATACGTGGTGATTATGCCTGATCTGTAGCTGGCTTCCTCTCATACATGTGCTTGTGCATGTGTGCATGCCTCTTCCTGTGGCCAAGGGCAGTTAGATATGACTTGTGGCCAGCACAGCACTGTCCCCTGCAGAGGACATGGAAGACAGTTTTCCTTGGGTCCTGACCAGAGTCTTGGTGAAGCAGGGAGGCTACGTATGGTGGCCTCTGAGTCAGCCCCTGGAGAACCTGCAAAGGAATCTTCCTGCTACAAGAACACAGCCAGGCGATGTGATGAACACTTTTATTTACAAATATAATTAAAAGCTCTGACAGTTAATCATGCTCTTCCTTGGAACCTGAAAAATGTTTGTTTTTTTTTTTAAAGTGCATGCAAAAGAAGTAAAGCCTTTTTTTTTTCATCATTTTTTATTGTAAGAAAATACACAGTTTGAAAGTGTGAAGAATGCAGTTATTTATGACCAAGATATGGGACTCAGGAAAGGGGAAGGGAAATAAAGAAAAAGGCCGAGATGGTTTGATTGAGAGACAGTGTTGAACTCCAAATACTGAATTGGAAAAGTAGGGAGGCGGGGAGGGTGGGAGGGGAGGAACAGGAGGAGGAAGTAAAAAAATTTGATCAGAGAAACAGTTAAAATACAATATGAAAATAAGTAATACCTCTCCTTAAATTCCTTCTATACACAAAATACACGATTTGCCAAAGCCCAATTTGTGCTACTGGGATTCTGTGAGTTCTTTAAGTGTATTCACATCCTCTGCAAGTGCAGAAAATGGTTATGATACAATCAGGATATGCTGAGGACAAGTTAAACCCTTGCCAGCAAGTTCTTAAAAATCACAAGATCTCTCCACCCTCCCACCCCCCCAGCCCCAAAAAAGTAATAATATGTCACCACTGATATGTACATCACAATTAGTTTCTGTAAAATGTATCAAATTTTCAATCTTTAATAAAACTTTGTTTTTTTTTAATTCCTGATGAATAAATACCAAAAAAATAAAATAAAATAAAATAATGCAGCAGCTAGTTAAGGTGTAAGGCTGCGGATATTGTGTCTCTCTCCCCCTTGGCGTTTAGTATTATTATCATCATCATTATCATTATTATTATTGTTTTTTTTGCTTTACTTTCACAGATTGAGCGATTGCTTAAAGCAATATCCATCCACTTTTCGTTGTTGGTTTATTGGTTTTTTTGTTCAAAGTGTCTCCGAGGTTCTTGTGAATCTGCAGCCACGTCAGCATGACGTGGGTTATGGAGAGAAGGCGGCCGGAAGCTGGCCAGCACTGCAAGTGGACACGGGGGAGGAAGGGGCCCCTGATGGAGGAAGAATACACAGGCACTAGTCCGACACGGTGTCAGTAAGAGTAAGAGAGAGAGAGAGTGACAGAAACGCCCGTTCAAATGGGGAATGTGGTTTTGCAGGGTCTCAACTTTTTCTGTTTTCATTTTTTTTTGTAAATGGCAAAAAAATTTAATCTCATCTA